TACTTCTATTACAGCATTGTTAACCACAAGCAAGATACTGTGTTTTGAGTTTGGCCTAAACAACTGGATCCCTAGAGCTTGTTTGTCTTATACAGATACAGAGAAAAGACTTGTCATCTTAATCATTTGGCATTAAAATCAAAATCGCCAAAACCTTAGGAAGGGTGCAGTGATTTAACACCATTGACAATGTTTAACAAAGCTTATTAAACAACACTATCAGGAAGAAAAATACACTTGTATGATTAACATCAGTTTCAATCTCAACGACTAGTTTCACAAGCTGGGAGCCCTCAGGATTCAGCTTTATTTATTTTCTGCAGGAATGTGGTCAGATTGTCAAGGTATGGTTGGTATTACTGTTGCCGTAGCTGTTAAAAGCAAAACACTGTCTAGTTTGCAGATCAGTTTAAAAGCATAATTCTACTTCTGACACAAAAAATATATTGGCAATTTTGGCACGGTGCCAGAGGACTTAAATTACCTCCAAGTCATGTTTCAGATTGTCAGGAGAGCAGTTTTAAAGTGTCGGCACAGAGGTACCGTAGACAACGACGAGGGTGCAAGACCTAAAACATCTCTTTTCACAGTCATTTAGACACACAATGAGGCTACATTTTGCAGCAGGCTTAGCATTGCTCAGCTCGATGAAGGATTGGAATATTGTGTGTTGTGTTGTTTTTGTCAAGTCTGGCTTCAGTTTCTAAACCTACCACATTTAAATGAGATCTTTTGGAAACTGGCTCTGGAATAGCAACACCTGAGACACCAACAGCTATAACTAAAGAAGTTGGTTTATAAACTAGCCCACAAGTTTTAACTGTTGAAATTGGTTTGTTCATTTTTGTATTTGGAAAATCAAATGTATCTTTACATAAAGACCACTCTGATATATGTGAATGCTGTCAGTAGTTTAGTAGTAGCAGTAGTTCAAGTCACAAGGCAGTTGTAAAGAGTATATAGTTGTGTCAGCCAATAATATTCTTTGAGCACCTAATTGGATATGGGGCCTTGCTGGTGGTGCCCATAATTACGATAACAAGTTCATGTTTCACAAAGAGCCATGTCTCTGACCATGATTTTAGGAGCTGATGTTAGGCTTAATCTCTTTTCAGAGGAATCTGTGTCTTTCTTCATCTGCATAGATTTGTAAATCTGCAAAATTTAATTTCTCCCCGAGCACTCTATCTTGGGATTTAAATCCTTTTTTTTGGTTAATAATCTCTTCAACTATTGTTTCAAAAATACTCTCCTAAATGACAAGTAGAAAAGCAGTTGACACATTTATCAATAATTATGTGTGCAAGCACCACTAGGCTGGATTTTCAAAATAACAATCCTGGATGGTAATAAGGCCTGACCAGGAAGCCTGAAGGAAGCTGGATTTTCAAAATAAGAGTCCTGGGTGGTAATAATATCTTACCAGGAAGCCTGATGGGGGCCTGATTTATAAACTAAAAGCACCCAACTTGTAAAATTCCCCTGATAGTTACAGGATGTTACCAGGAAACCTGAAAGGAGGCTGGCACAGTTTCTTTCTCTCTCACACTGAAACACCCTCTCTATGTCTCTCTCTCTCACCAACCTGGATCATGTTATTATTATGCACCTTTTATAAATTTCTGTTTCAAGTCAGCATCAAGCACTAGGCACACATTCAAAATTTCGTGAGAGAAAATCTAATCTAATCTCCACAGCAGCTTTCCTGCTCACTGCCTCGAATTTCTTCTGGAAAATGTATGCATTTTGCTGCATTCATGGTTAAAGTGTGTCCTATTAAAGGTTCAGTGTGTAAGATTTAGGTGATCTGTTGGCCCAAATTGAATATAAAATAACTCTCATGATGTTTTCACTAGTGTGTTTCATTAAAATTGTAAAAAAATTGGTTTTCTTTACCCAAGAACAGGTCCTTTACACTTAAATACTTTATATTTACATCAAGGGGTTCTCTCTATGGAGGCCGCCATGTAGTAGTCCAGACTGGACAAACTTAACACCTTTTGAGTTTTAATGACAACTGAAGTTCACCACAGGTTCTCTTACATGTTTGGAAAGGGAGGGTGAGGTGAGGGGTATTCAGCTGCAATTTCACTACTAGATGTCACTAAATTCTACACACTGTACCTTTAAACAAGATGGATACAATGCAAATTTCCAAAACACACAGAGCTAATCTAAACAGAACCTTAAAACAATCTTGTATCTGTGTAATACCATAAAAGTAATGCTATTCTAAAAGATTAACATAATAGCATTATGTTATATGTCAATAACAACATTGAATGATGATTGATAAGTAAGAAGAAATGGTTACAGTAATGCCAAATAAAGTTTGCTAAATCTTGGCCACTCCAAGTTTGTTAATTTATGAAGTTCAAAGAAGTAAATACACCTATCGAAGCAGACATTTCAAATGTTAATACACTAAAGAAGAAAAATAATCTGTAACTGAGTATGCATGTATGCAATTTTCAAGGTTAATAGCAAGGGATGTTTTTTAGATTTAGATTGGCCTAAAAACACAATTCACTGAATGATACAAATCTTTTTTTTTTTTATTTATTTTCTACACCATAAAATACAGACATACATGTTCTATACATGTTCTACAGACATGCATGTTGTATTACAAATGAATGTCCTTGGAACAATGCTTTGTAATAGAATATGAGGGGATTGAGCTCAAGTAAACACCATGTGACAGTGTACACACTGCATAAAGCAGTCTTCCTAATATCAGGAAAATCTTTTGATTACAGTGACTACAAATAACCAGGTAATAACCACACTTACAATCACTGTTGGTTTGAAAAGAAGATCATAACTGAAAGCATAATGTGACTGAGCCTTCATTCATAATAAAATATAGCGAGTGAGGCCTCCCCCTCGCAGCTCCCGCAGACGCTGGCAGTGTCGAAGCATGTTCAAAATCCCTTGAAATCGTTTGTCCACCTTCATTGATGTAAATTCCCGAATGTCATCCTCCACCACAAAGTACTGACCTGCAAGATATTCCAACACAACTGTGAGACCAGTTTTGTGTCATATACAAAAAAATTTAACCTCTGTATCAGGTCCTTCCTTAACAACTTTTTTTTTATGTCAATGTTTCAGATTTAAAAGATTCTCAGATCATCAGTTGGACAATGCAAATATCCCATTTCAAAAAGACCATGAATATGAGTGGATGTATTAGAGAAAAAGCAGATACAGTATATGATTTCATATTTGGATGACATTATATATATCTCAGAGACTTGTCTAAACAAGTATAAACCATAAATAATGACTTTTTATTTAGTGTTTGCTATATTTTGGTGTGCCTTAAAAATATATTTTGTGTCACAGCACAGTTTCCTTATGTTGCAGTGTGGAATGTTGCCTCCTGCTGAGGATGATGGATGGATGAATGAATGAATGAATGAATGAATACAGTGGGTACGGAAAGTATTCAGACCCCTTTAAATTTGTCACTCTTTGTTTCATTGCAGCCATTTGCTAAAATCCAAAAAGTTCATTTTATTTCTCATTAATGTACACTCAGCATCCCATCTTGACAGATGTAGAACTTTGCAAATTTATTAAAAAAGAAAAACTGAAATATCACATGGTCATAAGTATTCAGACCCTTTGCTCAGTATTGAGTAGAAGCACCCTTTTGAGCTAGTACAGCCATGAGTCTTCTTGGGAATGATGCAACAAGTTTTTCACACCTGGATTTGGGGATCCTCTGCCATTCTTCCTTGCAGATCCTCTCCAGTTCCGTCAGGTTGGATGGTGAACGTTGGTGAACAGCCATTTTCAGGTCTCTCCAGAGATGCTCAACTGGGTTTAGGTCAGGGCTGTGGCTGGGCCAGTCAAGAGTGGTCACAGAGTTGTTCCGAAGCCACTCCTTTGTTATTTTAGCTGTGTGCTTAGGGTCATTGTCTTGTTGGAAGGTGAACCTTCGGCCCAGTCTGAGGACCTGAGCACTCTGGAAGAGGTTTTCTTCCAGGATATCTCTGTACTTGGCCGTATTCATCTTTCCTTTAATTGCAACCAGTCGTCCTGTCCCTGTAGCTGAAAAACACCCCCATAGCATGATGCTGCCACCACCATGTTTCACTGTTGGGATTGTATTTGGCAGGTGATGAGCAGTGCCTGGTTTTCTCCACACAGACCGCTTAGAATTAACGCCAAAAGTTCAATCTTCGTCTCATCAGACCAGAGAATCTTATTTCTCATAGTCTGGGAGTCCTTCGTGTGTTTTTTGGCAAACTCTATGCAGGCTTTCTTCCACTGAGGAGAGGCTTCCGTCAGGCCACTCTGCCATAAAGCCCAGACTGGTGGAGGGCTGCAGTGATAGTTGACTTTGTGGAACTTTCTCCCATCTCCCTACTGCATCTCTGGAGCTCAGCCACAGTGATCTTTGGGTTCTTCTTTACCTCTCTCACCAAGGCTCTTCTCCCACGATTGCTCAGTTTGGCTGGACGGCCAGGTCTAGGAAGAGTTCTGGTCGTCCCTAACTTCTTCCATTTAAGGATTATGGAGGCCACTGTGCTCTTAGGAACCTTGAGTGCTGCAGAAATTCTTTTGTAACCTTGGCCAGATCTGTGCCTTGCCACAATTCTGTCTCTGAGCTCCTTGGGCAGTTCCTTCATCCTCATGATTTTCATTTGCTCTGACATGCACTGTGAGCTGTAAGGTCTTATATAGACAGGTGTGTGCCTTTCCTAATCAAGTCCAATCAGTTTAATTAAACACATTTGGACTCCAATGAAGGAGTAGAACCATCTCAAGGAGGATCAGAAGAAATGGACAGCATGTGAGTTAAATATGAGTGTCACAGTAAAGGGTCTGAATACTTATGACCATGTGATATTTCAGTTATTCTTTTTTAATAAATTTGCAAAAATTTCTACATTTGTCATACTGTCAAGATGGGGTGCTGAGTGTACATTAATGAGAAATAAAATGAACTTTTTAGATTTTTGCAAATGGCTGCAATGAAACAAAGAGTGAAAAATTTAAAGGGGTCTGAATACTTTCCGTACCCACTGTAAATGAATGAATAAATGAATGAATTAATACATGAATGAATGAATAAATGAATGAATGAATAAATGAATGAATGAATGAATGAATGAATGGTTTACCCTATGGGGGATTACATTCACAATTATATTGATTCCCAATATAAACAATTGAGGTAATAACTATATTGCAATAAGATAGCAATTTCACATGGGTATTCATTCATGTCTGAACTCAATACTGCAAACAGATGTCCAAATGAATTGCCAAAATCCATTATTCACAAACAGTGACAACTAAAGTTAGTGTACCTTTTGTAGCTTTCGTGTCCTGGTCCTTGAAGCGTTGGTGAAGTTTGCGTGCATGATTACTCAGAGTTTTCACTGACTGATGGAGGACCTTGTACTTGGCTGTTACAGCTTTGTTAATGCTCTGCACCACAGCATTAATATGATCATATGAAACACGTCCTTTCATGTACCTGAGAGGGACGGACACACAAGAACAGAAACAATTGCATTTAACATCCACATGTAGATCTGGAAAAAGTCAAAACGAATGTATGCTTGATCAAATACTAACAACTACAGTGCTAATCTAGAAATATGTCTGTGTTTATTAGACAGCTGAAGTCATAACAATTAAGAAAACACAGAATTAAAAACAACATGCAAAGTTGAGTCTTACACAGTTCTCTTCTATAAGAGCAGTCATCCACCAAAAAAACCCACCCCACTGTGTTTATATTTTGTGATAATGGCCTGCACAAAATTTGAGAAAAATAAAAAAAAATTGCACCCGAGTCAAAAATGTTGATTGTGCATAGCATCCCTATGTATGATACTCAACATTGTCATCCTTCTGAAAAATAAATTAGGAAGTAGTAAATCAGAGGAAGTAAGCATCATGGTACAACAAAAAAATAAAACTTCAATCTCAGAAAAATTTAACTACATGTATGCAACTACCATGTACTAAGATACTGACCTATGCTTTGATACAACCTCCCAACTTTTCTCACTCACTCACTCAAAAAATTACTTTGTTAAATAACATCAGGAACAAACCATGAAAACACAGAATTTTCACTATGATCCACAGCTGCTGATCAAAAGGCTGGTTGTACTTTATATTTACCCATGGGGCGGGTCCGCTCTACGGAGGCAGCCATGTTTTTTACAGTAGTCCAAACTGGACAAACACGCTATTTATGACAACGAAAAGTTTATTTCATGTTTGGAAGGGGAGGGTGAGATGAGGGGTATTCTGCTGCTCCATGCAGCTTCACCACTAGATGTCACTAAATACTACTACTGAACTTTTAAGGGCAGAGGATGTTACACCTTGTAAGCCCTATGAGACAAATTGTGATTTGTGATATACAAATAAAATTTGATTGATTGATTTTTGTTTGTACAGTGCTGGAGTTTCCTGTGTCCTCCCTCCACACTCCTGCTGATCAGCTCTCACTTAAATTAATAAACACAAACACTCATCACAAGTTATCAGGACCTGATCAGTACATGAAGTTTAATTAGTGTTTTTTGAATTGCTCCAGAGTTCATGAGGCTGCATTTAAACAAGAAAAAATCGTCAACATTTTGTGCGAGCTCAGCACAACACGAGATGTGATACTCACAGCCAGGACTCAGTGTTAAAGTGACAGGAATATCCGGATTCATGACCCGACACCATTAATTAGTAACTAAATACATGCATGTAAGTTTGTCATCTAAATCAAAACCATCTCAATAAAAGATTGAACAAATGAACATGAACTAGTTCATTTTTGGAACTGTGAACTTAGTTCAAAATTAAAAAAAACTATGAACATGAACCAGTTCAATTTCATTTGTATGAACTGAACTTTGAACTAGATTTTTTTAAGTGTGAACTGGCACAAAACTGATCCCATGGAGTGTTGGCAAGGATAATGAAGCATTGAAAACTACCTCTAAAATGACAATGAAACAGGACCGACTTCTCCATAAAACAAGAACACACAGGGCACAGAGAATCTAAACTGAGGATGCAGTTAAGACTTTTGCTGCGATGAAGGCCCGCTGTATGCACTTCTAAAAGGTAAACTTTATTTGCTCTCTAGTCTTTCATGTATTTCTTGCATATTTGTTTGGCGCACATGAGAAAGCGGTGTATAGGAGAGATTTGCACTGGTATGATTTAGTTTGAGGTGCTGAAATTGGATTTTATTGAAAATAGCTGTATTTGCTGCCATGACTCATGATGTGGATCCGAAAACGCCCATATTATGCATATTTTAACACTTTTTGCACTTTGAGCACACTAGTGTTGCACTAGATTGCACTCGTGTTGTTACTGGTATGTTGCAAATAGAGGGACAGTAAAATTATTGTTCACTTAAGCTTGCTCTTTGGGTGAATCCAAGCTTTTACAAGGCACAGCCACCTTCCTTGTGATGTTACACAAATAGACACATTTACATAATTGATGAACTTGATAACTTTGACTTTTTTTTTTAAACTTCCCATTGAATGTGAACTCTGTAATTGGTCTGTCACCAGTTGACATCTGACGGTGTTGACAAAGTAAGAGTTCACGTAGCAGCCATTTTCTATTCAGCTTGATTCTAGTTACAAACAGAACCTACTTCAGGAGAATAAAATGATCTAAACATTTCTAAAGAATTTCCTCATAAATTGGAAGCAGTGTTTTCTTTTTATAAAACAAGCTATTTTTAATCATTTCAACATTTGTATCCCTTTTTTAACACATGAATGATTGAACCCTTCTCTGTGGACATGCTGTTTTAGATGTAGTGGGGAAGACAGTAAGTGTCATAGATTTGATATAATAATTATTCAATTAAATTGAAGGAGATAACTCTGTTGAATACATTTGAGTAATAATCCCTCATTACATCTACATTTGAAAATATTTTCACTTTTAAACCTAAATACGTTTCAACTGCTGGAGGTGTTTTGTCCCATGCCTCAAGAATCAGTAACATATCAGTATGTGGCCATGTTAGTACTTAATTTAACACAAAGGCTGCACGATTTATTGTAATAAAAGCCTAATCCCAGTTCACAGTTCACACCCATCTGCAATGTAATTTCTAAATGACCAAAATCTGCAGCATTTCGAGGCAGGAGAGCGAGTGAGAGAAAAAGCAGAGAAATGTTTTTCTAAAAATCTAAAGAAAACCCAGCTGAAGGTGATGAGAATCAGATAAACAACCCCACTGTGATGTGTGACGGAAGAAGATTTTACCTATTTGAAAACAGGTTTATCACGTAGTGTTCAGTGTTGACCTTGTGTTGGTGGCTCAAAAAAAAAATCAATATATGGACACTTCAGATTCATTTTGAAACAGCAACAGGTCAGTGAAAGGCATAACCATGTACATTACATCGATTTTAATAATATGAAACAAACTGCACGTAGTGGTTTTAAAGTATAACTGTTACCGGACATGTACTGTGGAGGAACTCTGCAGAATTTGGAAGGGACTTTCTCGTCAGTTTGCCTTTCAAACTTCCAAAACACAGCAGCAGATTCTCTGCTGAGATGCGTTTATAACAGCAACAAATCCTCTGCAGGATTCAAGTGAGGGGTGGTGTAGCAGTTAGAGATAGGACGTAATGTATTAATTACGCTGCAGAGATCACACGTTTTTGTTTGGCACCTCTGCACCAGTGCCAATTCTAATTACCGCAAACTCTCTTCTGCAGACTTTATACTGTAGGGCCAGACAGAGAAAGTCTGCAGAAACTCTGGATGCTCTCACTCAGACATTTGTGTTTACACATGCACCATCTCTTGAGTTCACTGCATGTCTGAAAACACTTTATGTTTCCAAAATGTCCAAACATGTGCTAGATATCATTAAGAGATACTTACGGTGGGATGTTCTCAAACTCTGGTACAGTGATAAACTCCATCTCTTTGATGTAGCTTTTGCTGGTCTTTTTTACATTTTCTGGTTGGACAAGTTGAACATCTGCTGCTTCTTTCTTGTTCAAAACAGGTTCAGTTCCACTGAGAGACAAAACAAAGATTAGAAAGTCAGTGCTGGGGGTTATTTTTTAATACTACATAGTAGGGGTGTTTGATATTGACAAAAATAATATTTCTATATTTTTGCCACTGGTGAAGCCTGGCTAGCCAGGCTCTCTGTCCGGAATGAGTGGGTGGGTGGGTCGGAGAGACAGAGGGAAGGAAAAAGAGAGGGGAAAGGGTGAGAGACCCTTGTACATCGTTAAAGGTCTAGTGTGTAGAATTTATTGATATCTAGAGGTGAAATTGCATGTTGCAGCTGAATACTCCTCATTTCACCCTCCCCTCCCAAACATGAAAGAGAACCTTTAGTGAACTTCAAGGTTTTAGTTTGTCTAGTTTGGACAACAGTAAAAAACATGGCGGCCTGCATAGAGATTACCCACCTCCATGTAAGTATTAAGTCTTTAAATTTAAAGGGCATGGTAATGAAAACAAATATTCATAACAATTTAGATGTTTACACACCAGTGAAAACATCACTAGGATTATTTTATATTCAATTTCTGCCAAAAATTCATCTAAATCTTACACACTGAACCTTTAAAACAACAATTAAGATATTATCGTAGATTATAAATAAAGCACACCCCTACAACATAGTCAAAAATAACTGCATAGTCCATGTTTCTAAGAGGTGAAAAATACAGAAAAGTAATAGCTTCTACTTTATGCACATACTGTACATGGAGCTGCAGGGGTGAGCTCACTGATGATGTGTGATATTGACTATCAAACTTCAATTCAATTTTATTTGTATATTGCCAAATTAGGGCTAGGCGATATATAGAAAAAAAAATGTACGATAATTTTTTTTCTTATCAGTCAATATCGATATATATTGTGGTATAAATCAAATCAGCGTCACTGCACTGAGGCACATTACTCTGCGCAGGTCAACAGGAGACTCTGCTGCTCTGAGAAGGATCCTTAGAACTGATCTTTATAAAAAAACGCTGAATTCATATTTATGTTCCTTAACGGGGGCCTCGCTTCTTCTGCAACAATGACGTTAAAATACCACATTGATCTGAGGGAAGAGTTTCTCTTCTTTCAGCAGGAGTGTGTGTGAGTGTGTGTGAGTGTGTGTGTGTTTTTCTCTGTCACTTTTTACACAAACTTATAATCACATGGGATATTCACCATCTAGTCCTATATTCTAAAATAGTTATTAATCAATGATATGAGATCATGACACCGGATCATTCCGGTCACATTAACACTGATGTCCTGACTGCGCATCACATGAAGTCTTGTGTTGTCTAGCAGGTTTAAACATGTGTCTCATAAACTCTAGAGCGAATCAAACAATTACAAAGTAAAAAACAGTTCTGTGCTGTCCTAACAGGACGACGTGACCTTTAAACAAGACAATCAATGTATTGTCCCCTGAAACTGAGCTTACATTAAAGACTGTATTGCTAGTACTAATTGGGAGATTTTTAAAGGTGCATCCACATATGAGGACTCAGACAAAAACATAGAGGAGTATGCCACATGTGTAACAGACTACATCAGTACCTTCATTGAAAATGTAGTGCCCACTGTACAGATTTGCAGATATCCAAATCAAAAGCCTTGGATAAATAATAAGGTACAACACATACTGCTTGCTCGCTCCACTGCTTTTAAATCAGGCAATGAGGAGGAATACAGGCTGGCAAAATACAGACTCCAGAAGAGCATCAAACAGGCCAGAAGACAGTACTGACAAGAGCTGGAAGGTTTCTACTCTGCAGCTGATGCCAGGCAGATTTGGCAGGGCTGAGAAACACAGACACAGACTACGGTGGCACTTATTCAGGAATAACAAACTATAACACCTCCTTACCGGATGAGTTGAACATATTCTACGCTCGCTTCGAACAATCCCATCCGACACAGAAGTCCTTAAAATATGGAAAATACAACCCTGAGGAAAATCAACCCCCACAAGGCCTTGTGCCCAAACAACATCCCAGGAAGGGCCCTCAGGGTATGTGCTATAGAACTCACTGATGCCTCGCACAGTTCTATCCTGCTTTAAAAAGACCACTATCATCCCGATCCCCAAGAAAAACCCAGTAACCTGCTTGAATGATTATAGACTAGTTGCACTTACACCCATTATTATGAAGTGCTTCGAGCAGGTCATACTGGGTCACATCAAATCAATCATTACCTCCACTGGACCCCCTGCAGTTTGCATACCAGTCCAACAGATCTACTGAGGATGCAGTTTGTACTGCCCTGCACACTGCCCTCTCCCATCTGGAAAACAAGGACACCTACATCAAAATGCTGTTCATTGACTACAGCTCAGCATTCAACACAGTCATCCCTGCCAAACTAACACTGAAACTGTTAAGCCAAGGACTGAACCCCCTCAGTGACTGGATCTCAGACTTCCTCATCTGCCGACCACAATCTGTCAGGATTGGAAACACCGCTACCGGGACATTACTCATGAACACTGGCACCCCTCTACACACACCACTGTGCTGGTGACACCACAGTCCTGGGTCTCATCAGTAACAATGATGAATCAGCCTATTGCAGGGAGGGGGAGGACCTAGTGCTGTGGTGTCAAAAAAATAACCTGACGCTAAATGTCAGCAAAACAAAGGAGGTGAATGTGGACCTGAGGAAAGGGAGGAGTCAACACACACCATTACACATTGGTGAGACTGAGGTGGAAAGGGTCGACACCTTCAAGTTCCTCTGCGTTCACATCAGTGAGGACTTCACCTAGATCCACCTAGACTAAAGCCTAGTTTATGCTTTTGCATCGCATCGAAGCCGTAGCCTGACGCGCACCTCCAAAAAATCCTAACTACGCGTCGACGCGGACCGCAAGCACTGTGATTGGTCCGTTCAGAACGTAAGTTCCGGCAGTTGCTTTTTCCGGTCTTTCTTCCTCCTCGTACAGACCACATCCGCAAACGTCTTTTCTGTCGCCTGCGCTTCAACATTTGCAATATAAGCATTTGTTCTACAATATAGATGAGCTCCAACTCCAAATACAGCGGCTCCACCTCAGTCGCCATTGTTTACTGTGATCGAAAGAAAAAGCAAGGATTCGGCTATAACCCCGAAACCACACAAACACACAGCCACACCCCCCTAGCAGCATGGCGGTGAATTGCAGAGCAACGCGTTCCCTCTACGCAGAACTTCGAATGCTCAACGATGGCGTCATGTCGACGCCGTACCTACGCCGTTGACGTGACGCAGAAGCATAAACTAGGCTTAAGTGAATACCCATCAAGGCATTCTTGAGATATCATGTTCACAGAAATGGGATGGACAAAGGGATGGACACAAGGACAGACGGACAACAGGAAAACATAATGATACATAAAATAATAAAACACATGCTTTCCTCACCATGTTGGGACTTTCTTCATGGGCATGTGTGCAGGTATGTTGTCCTTCATGTGATGGACATCTTCCACATCCTTCTTGAATACCTCCTCAAGTTTCTGAAACTCAAACAAACTATTTGTGTCATAGGGCTAGACAGTGTTAGGAAAACATGCGATAACATTGTTTAATATCGCAATGAAGATACGACATTCCATGGGTATAGACACAGGGATCATGGACAGCTCCACAGCAGTGAGGAGGGCCACAGCCTAAGTACACCTATAGAGTTCATTTGGGGTCTTTTTAATATATATATGGACCATGAAAAGTGTCTCGTCAACATGTTGTGCTCTGTACAACACGAGACAAGACATGAAAAGCATGACTCAGTGTTAAAGTGAAGGAGCGACAGATTCATGATCCGACACCATCGATTAATAACTAAACACATGATTTTATTTTTCAATCTTAATAACTGCATCATTTGTCTTGTTACATGTATACAAATACAAACCGAATGTTAAATGTATATATCCACCTTCTGTCATTTATCTTTCCGTTCCCACAACGATATACAGAGAAAATGGGGATTTTTCAGGTATATTTACAAATGGTGATTAATCGTAATTAATCCACAGCTACCCTGTGATTAAACTGATCAAAATTTTGATTTTTTGAAAGCCCTACTTATATTACATGAGTGTGTAGCCTCTGTTTACCTTTAAATGCTTTAGTTGCTCCTTCTGCTGGCCTACACGTTTTTCAAACTCCTCTAAAAGGCTCTCCAGGGCAAACAGTTCTTGTCCAAGTTTCCTATTTTTATTTTGAGGCAATTCTACATGAGAGAGACAGAGAAAAGGGACCACATTTCTTTATCAATGACACTGTACACAAAAAAACAACAGTTATGTGTCCTGTCTTAAATAAATCACTGCTTCATACCAACAACTGATAGATCAACCATGCGTTGTAAGGATGATATCCTGTCATGAATGTGAAGACTGATATCCTCCAGCTCACTCATTTTCCTGAAAAGGGGCAGAGCCATTGCATTTACAACAGTACTTTGCACATTGTAAACTGCTACTTTAAATAACGCTAGCTAAGTAGGTGTACCATTGCTTTCCATAGAAATAACAACATAAAGCGACATGAACCTCCATAATAACAACCAACACAGATGGTAAAAGATTGCCTTTCCGAAGTCAAGATCATGCTTTTTTTTTAAAACAAAACAATATCGTTTATAAAAGTGAAGTTAGCTGACAGCCAACAGCTACGTGAGCTAAAGCTATTATTTCATCACAAACATCTGAATAGTCATATCTCTGAGACAAATCAGCAAATACAGAGCTGCACTATCTATGCCGTAAACACAAAATGAAACGGTAAGTTTCATTCGTGGCGCTTACTTACTCTGCCAAGTAAGCAACCACCGCCGCGTTGTTCGTCTTCTTCGTCGTCTTCTTCGTCGTCTTCTTTTTGCTGTTTACTGGCGGGTGGCACCTAACGTTAAAGGTGCATTACCGCCACCTAACATGCTGGAGTGTGGGTCAGAGTGTTTGGTCTGCGGAAATACATACAATAAAATAATAATAATAATAATAATAACAATAAATAGAAGAAAAAAATACATTACTGGAACTTAAAGGTACAGTGTGTAGAATTTTGTGATATCTAGTGTTGAAATTGCATGTTGGAGCTGAACACCCCTCACCTCACCCTCTCCTTCCAAACATGAAAAACAACCTGTGATAGCCTTTAATTGACATAAAAACTCAAAAGATGTTTAGTTTGTCCTAGTGAAAACATCATGAGGATTATTCTACATTATACTTCTGACAATAGTTCCCTTTCACCCATGGACGAAATTTTGATTTTAGAGGTGGGGGGGACACAAGTATTTTTAATAAAACCCAAACTCTTTCAGTTTACTGTGTTTTCTGGCAGTTCTTCTAGTTTTCTATTGTTACTAGGGATGCACCAATACCACTTTTTTTAAAACCGATACAACGCACAAGCATCTGRTGGAGGAGTAACTCGCCTCTTATCGCGGTCTTCATGCAAAAAATGGTATCGGTTCTTGGTATCTGTCACGATGGCAGGGTGGATAGGCAGTGGACCCATGAATGAAAATAATCAAATAATCTCTTTGGCATTAAATATAAGTTTAAAAAAAACCTCTGCATTGTTGAGGTTCTACAGTAATACATTTTATTTATCAGCACTTCAAAACTCACAGACACTTTACAAGATTATTGAGAGCTTTGTAAATGATGAGGACGATCTTTCATTGGATGCTGCTTTATTGGGAGGTGAAGTGAAGGTGTTGCAGGACCAGTGTTGGGCAAGCTACTTGGAAATTGTAGTGAGCTAAAATAGAAGTTATTCTACA